CTGTGTGGTGGAGAGGACTGAAAACTGTGATGGAGGAAATCCAAATCCAGACACATGCTTTTTGCTTCATTTTACTGTAATCCTAGAAAGAAATTGGCTTGCCTAGCTAACTTGACTTGACTTGCCTCTATATTTGCAAGACCACTGATATTGTATGCTTTCTGGTGCTGTTTATACTTCTCGTAGTAGCAGTGCTCTGCTTGGCTTTACCAAAGTCCCTAACAGCATGAAGCCAGAGCAATTTACATTCCAAAGATGCAAGAGGTTCAAGGCATTTGTGAAAGACTCGGCCTCTTTGTGTAATGTTTCTAATAATATATTAAATAAAACTGAATTTTTACTTTAAGAAGATGAATCTTTTTCAAATCTTTAATTTAAAAACTGTGCAAATATCTAATACATATTTAGTCTTCACTGTTTATTTTGTGACTTTTTCCGTCCCAAGATTCATTACTCTTGGCTGAAACCGTATCTTGAAACCCTTCCTCTCTTTAGTGGTCCAGTTTCTCATGAGATAGAAAACCATCATCTTGGTTTTATAAAATAAGTTGTTACTATAACCTGAGGTACCCTGTGTTTTCTGTGTGCGTGTAGATGAGGAGGAGCATATGTGTCAGCATGCACATATGTAATTTGAATTAATTTGGGGCAATTGCAGTTTTTTTTTTTTCCATGGTTACCGGTTTGTTGCCAGCCAGGTTAGCCTCGCACTGCAGCTGAGGCTGCCCGGTGTGTTGGAGAGGCTGTTTGAAGCCGCATGTCGCTGGGCCAGGGCGGTTCACGGTCCCTTACGGCCCTTGCGAGGGGCTATTGCCCCTTCTCGGGCAGTTTGGGCGTGACCGTTGGGCTGGGGCGGGGCCTCGCGACGACCGTTGCTCTGGGGTGGGGCGGTGGGGAGGTGACCGTTGGACTGGGGCGGCTTCTGGAAGGTTCTGGCAGGTGTTGCTAAGCGCCTGTTGCGCATCTTTCGGCGGCTCCTGCGGCATCTAGGCGACGGCGCTGGCCCTTGCGCAGGTAAGGGAATGCAGCTGAGAGCAGTGCAGGGGCTGTAGGTGCTGCTTGTACCCCGTCACTGTGTTGGGATAGTCGAGGACCTGTGTCCTGGGATAGTGACTGTTACTTCAGTCTTCAACTGTACCCACAGTGAAGCAAGCTTGCCCAACTTACTGTGTTACTGTGGCAGCACCTCCTGCTACTGCTAAAAAGTCATACTGAAATTAAGGTAAAAGTTATGAGCAAATGTTGCTCTTTTCCATGAATGTTGTCTTTGGGTGCCTGCATGTGAAAGCCAAAAGGAGTGGTGGTCTTTGTGCAGAGTCCAAATCTGGATGTTGTTTGGGTGTTTGTGTGTACATGCAGTGCCTAGTGGAGAGACCTTGGGCACTACAGTAATATAAATACGACTTTTAATCAGCTCTCCTGAAAAGAAATAGGAAGCAAACAGTAGGAGTCTGTTTCATGTTGCTATTAAAGTGGAGAGATATTTTGCTTGAAGAATCATTGACATTACACAGCAAAGAGTATTTGGTATGGAAACACTGCAGTCGATAAAATACTGGTAACTCAAACGCACAGATGATACTGTTTTTCAGAAGCAGCTCCAATTTAATGCCTGATGGAGCAGTGTCATTCACACCTGTTTACAGAATGCCTCTCTGTCTAGATTTGTACATTTAAAAACTATTGCTGAGATAGCAAATGACTTTTTGAATCCAATTAGTTAACTCTTCTCTGCGAACTTTACTTGCTTGAATGTGACCCTATAAAAGAAACCAAATGGCAGGCATTTCTCCAGTCAGTGGAATGAACTAGCATTTGTTGGCTAGCGTGCTCCACCTCACTGCTACAGCATATTCCAAACTGCACAAAGACTCTTCTGGGGGAATTTATGTATAAGTGGTTAAAAGCAAAATTGAATGAACCTGCATGATATAAAAGTCTAGGACTGTTTTCTGTAAATGCGCAGTAGAAAGTAGATTAGTCTTCCATGAAATCAATTGATTTTTTTTTCCCTTTGTCAGGGTAATAAAATATAAGTCTTGCCCTGTAATACAGATATTGGAATAGCCCTGAAAACATACTCCTTGGGCAAGTGTGGACCTCACTATCTGCCAAGAAGCTGGTAGTGTTTCTAGGAAGGCCGTAGGTAGTTTTCAGTGTAGTGACTAGTGCCATGCATATGATGGAGCTTGACTGTGTTTTTTTTTTTTTCCCCCCTCTGTCTCCACCCCCCATTTATGTAGCATCTAAATCTCTTACAAAAACAAATACCTAATTTATTGTCCTGCAGTGATGAAATGCAAGCTGTTTTGCAAGTGAGAAATAGAGATTTAGAATGGATTAAATAAAAATAATTGTCATGCAATCAAAAATAAACCAATATTTACATTCCAGTAAAAGAAAGTTTCTTAAAATGTCAAAGGCTTTTAAAGTAAGTGCTTGATTTTAAAATACCTTTTCGTTAAGGTGGGGGATAAAAAAAAGAATGTGATTTTTACTTATAGAATGAGTAATGCTGGCGAAGGGCCAGGTATTCTGCTCTCAACACACTGCTATGACTGTCTCTAAAGCCTGTTACTCAAGTTTAATTTCTCCTCACTGCAGTGAGGGGTGATGAGTTCTGTGGAAGTACCAGACAGAAGGAGACTTAGCAGACCTTTTTTTTTTTTTCAATATGTCCGTATTCTCTTCCTTCTACAGACAGCTAATTATATATGAATATCTTCGGCACCAAAGCTTGATATTTTCAAACCTCTTTGGGGCATGATGCATTAACAAAAAAAAAAAAACACTTGTCAGTGATGCTTATGCACTGCCAGTAACTACTCACAAGAGGGAGCTCAGAGAAAGCTTCAAGTATTTCTACATTTAAAAATATATATGTGTGTTTGTATATATATGTATCTGTATGTCTCGAACTCTGCTGTCTCCAAACATTTACATTCTCAGTCAGACTTAAGACTCAACCTTCTTTTCAAAAATACAGTTGCATCTTCTGTAATTTTCCTGGACCTGTAAATAGGCTTTATGCTCTGAAATGCATGAAATACATAATTATTTTCTGATGGTAAATTTTTGGCCAAGGAAATGCAAATAATTCCTTTTTATTTGTACTAACCATTTCATGAATTTTCAAAAATAAAGGGGTTTTTATAAATAACTTCTATGACAGTAACTATAAAAGAATTATTTCCCCTTTGTTTAACATGAAATAGTTCTGATTGTGAAATCATCTGCTGCCTTCTGATATAAAAGTTACTCAGAAAAACTGCTAATTCTCATTTTTCTTTGTGTAATGTGAAGTACATTCTTGTATCTTTTACTATATTTATAGAGTTTTAGAATAATAATTTAATTGTTAATAGTTGCACACCCTTTGCATTTCCACTGATAATAAAATTTGCCATCAAAGTAGTTTTTCTAAAATAGAAGATATTTACAATTATTTATGTGTATAAAATTTCCTTCTCATTCAGCCTGCCATGTTTACACTCAGTGAAGGCTTTAAACTTCCTAATAGAGAAAGAATTTATTTAATTAGGTGAAATGACCTGCTTATGTTCAGGATATATATTTTCAGTGTTGTAATGAAGAAAAAAAAAACAGTCATTGAGCAGCTTCTTTCCTCAGTATGGCTTATTTAAGAACCTGTTTAATGCTTAATAGGAAATTCATGTTTCCTTGCTTAATAAGGCTGACTGGAAAGAATATATATATATATATAGCTGGGTTAATTGTGGAACAGAGTATATTGCTTGTGAATTCCTGATGAATAGCTATTAATTGTGAAACAGAGTGTATTGCTTGTGAATTCCTGATGAAATAGCTATTAAATAGTTTGGCCAATCCTCCTCTTCCCTTTGCTAAGTCCTCTTACCAGGATGTTCCATACCTACTCATTTTGAAATAATAGTTCCATGTAAGGTGAAAATACATTTTAAGACTTGTGAGAACATTTCTAAACATACAAAAATGCTAGCTATTGCAAAAAATATATATATTATTGTTGAAAGATACTATTGAAGTATCTTATGTCACTTGAATGAATAAATCAGGATGAATTATCTGCTCTAAAATAGTCCTCATATTGCTGAATATTCTGAGTAAATGTTTTGAAATTATGCTCCATGACAGAGAAAGGCTTGCTTGAACTAACTGTACTTAAATCCAAATACATTTTTTTTCTGAAATTTTCTTCGATTTTAGAAAGTATGAAAGAACATATTTTGGAAAAAGTATTTTAAAAGATTTTTATAATATCAAATGAACATTAATTTGCAAGCTTTCTATGATTCCATAGCTGAGTAATTTTTTATTTGTGATGTGATACTGCAGGTAGATTATAGGAAATATATATAATAATAGGGTCCTTAAGTAGGCCAATAAAGCAGTAATTGCCATTGTACAATATAAGGTAAGCTAAATTATCTTCCCCTTTTCTCTTTCTTCCCCATTCCCAAAAATGCTATTAGGAACACTTGAAGTCTATCACAAATTCTAATGTGAACTGTAATTCTGAATTTCTATCCTTACTGCAGTAAGGTTTTTTTTTCTTGTAACTAAAAAAATAAAAGTAGGTTGTGTTGTCTAGTAGTTCTGGACCCTGTATAAATCATAATGTTTTTGCAAATGGTGGATAACTTTTTTTTTTCAGTGGCCCTTTGCAAACTTTCAAACTGTAAACCTGTTCAGAAATGCAGTGTGTTTTTAATATGTTGTTCTTTACCCTTTATATTTAAAAAAGGTTTTTCTTTAATAAATGTTTTTGGTAAATCAAGGTGAGAAAAGGCTGATGTAAATTTTAGTGATATTTGGGGCAGTGTGTTTTAAGGGGGGTAAAAAAGCCTCACCAGAAAAACCTGCTTTTTATTTTCTATTTGCATTCAGTCATCACATGCTAAGTGAGCGAATGGGACAATTTTCTTCCTTTTTCTGTTCCCGTTAATTTGTTTTCCTTTGCCAAGAGAATGGAG